TGAGCCTCCCTGGTCCTTATTTCTGTGGCTTTATATTGCAAGGTCCAGAGGTTTAAAACTAATAACAACACCATGAAAATTCTCTGTGAGTCATCCTGTCAGCTGTAGCTTCTGTTTGAGTCTTTCTGATATAACTAATGTTTATTGCCAGCTCTGCTAACAACTTTCCATGCTTTAGATCTATATACTAATAAAAACGTACAATGGTAGATAATTTTTGGACTTTTCTTTTTGCTATTTCTGTAATTTTTGGTTCTTTTAGTGAGTCTAAGCTAGACCAGTTATAAATTGTAGGTGGCGAAAAGATTCATGACTGGTGTTTTTTTTTTTGAGGGATAGGAGTGGTGGTGGTCATTACTACTTTTGGTTTTATGAATCTTACTGTCCAGAGATCTAAAGATTGAATTAACAGTGTAGCTGAAGTCAGCAATATGTTCTAAATCCCTATACTTAAGGGTACTTATGTATTGCAGACAAATGCCCTTTAGCTGTTTTGTTTGTTATTTTGTGAAAAATGATATAATACTACTAGAGCTAGCTGGTTCATATTCACATTGGAGTAATTTCAAATTTTAGTGTTGTGCCTCAGGATATTTAAATTATTTTGTAGAAATAGATAAATAAAAAACTTGATTTACATCCAGGACACCGAATGCCTTAATCATTCTTGATACTTTAAAGGAGATGCAGAAATAATAAGTGGCAGGTATGGTCAACGCGATTTCACAGGCTTCCTGACCCTACTTGCTAGGAAAATTAAAAGTTTTGGTTGTAATCTGATCTTTTCTCTTACCCTGCAGCATCTGGGAAGTTTGTTAACTTGAGTATTGACGTTAATTTTATATGACTTGGCAAGTTAAATCTATAGTTTCATCATTGACTCTGAATTATGCATTTCTGTGGATTTTACTGAGCTAAAAACCTATTTGAATATTGTTAGTCTTTAAGTTTATTTTTCTTTTCTACTTAATTTGAAATTAAGTCTCCAAAGTTCAGATTTTATTTTTGTTCTAACAGTTAATAATAATTAAGTGGTTATTATGTGCTAGGCAGTGCTTCTCATTTAATGCTTTGCATTTTCTAATTCTCTAAACAAATTTCTAAGGTAGGGACTAGTATTCTCACTATTTTACAGAAGATTGTTAGAGAGCCTGAGCACCTTGTACAAGTGTAAAGCACCTTTTAAATTGTGAAACTAGAATACAAACCTCGTTTTTTGTTTTTGTTTTTGTTTTTTTTTCCTGAGGAGCCCCTGTCCCTGAGGCCTTGGGATCACATGCAGTTTTCATTGACTGTAACAGTATTGGAATGCTGTATTTTTGCATTGATGTTTGTCATCATTTTATGAGGATTGAGCCTTAGACTTCTCTTTACTGTGGTCTGTTTTGCAGAGTTATTTGTCTAGCAACTCTCCTCACTGGCATGAATTCCAATAAGCTAGTGCTATATTTCATTGATTCCAAGGTGCACAGGCTTTTCATCCTGCCTTTTAACATTGCTAAGATCAGGATGTATCTTACAATGGAATTATTGAGAATTCTAAATTTAGTAGGTAACATTGTTTGCTAATGAAAACTTGTCCACTATCCAGCTTAGGTAAAATATCCTGAACTTAACTCTCCTTGTTTCAGTCATCTCTTATGAAGAACCATCCAGAGTCCCAAATTCTTCATCATAACTAAACCTGAGAAAAAAAAACATCTAATACCTTGAAGGAGAGAGAGAGGGTAGGAATTAAAGTTTGAATGTGGTATTTCTGTTTTTTCTTTCAGGACACTTTCTTTCAGGAGTAATGTCAAAGGCTAGCTCTTTTCTCACAAAAAATCATCTATAAAAGGAAAAAATGACTTCAAATAGGCTGTATATATTATAAGCAAATATGTGTTAACACAAATTTTGACGGCCCTTTGTAATGTTTTTAATCTAGAAGAAATTCTGTTTAACAGTCTTAAAGGAATATCCCAATTAGAAAATCATGTATATGTATGTATGTATTGTATTGTTAAATATGCATATGTGTGTGTGTATGTGTGTGTGTGTGTGTGTGTGTATAGTTAAACCTGGCTAAAACTGGAAGTTTTACTAAAGTAAATATTATTTATTGGGTTAGGGTTATTTAATTACCAAATCACAACTCCCTTTACACTGTAGTAATGTATTGGGAGGAGTATGAAAATAAAAACTTTGGGGAGGTTTCTCTATCTTTGCTACCTAGGGCTTTAATATTAGAGCTCAGAACTTATATAAGAAAAAGGCATCCTGAGTCAAGTGAGTAAATGTAATTGTGACCCTTAAGGCTCTTGGTTAGGATTTGTGGCACTCGAGTATGCTTAGTATAGGTAATCGAAAGTAAGGGCATCTAGTTATCTTATCCTAATGGCTCTAATTTCTGACAACGCTTTCCTTTTTAAATTATGGTTCTATGATCTGGCCCGTCAGTCGAGCCATCTACCAAGCCCCCTATAGAGATGCCTACTCAGGAGATGCAGTCAGTCTCTACCATGTCCGGGAGGATGGCTGGATCCGAGTCTCCAGAGACAATGTAGCTGATCTACATGACAAATATAGTGGTTCTACCCCTTGAAAAAAATAAAAATAAATAAATTATGGTTCTTCATATTGGTACTTGGACTTCATCTTACATCTGGAAAAATACATACACACATGTAAATATGCACAAACATGTTCATTGTTGGCTAAATGTCCAAGTCATCAATATGATATTTTCGAAAGCCAGATACAATTTGGTTAAGCACATCTAACATAATTCAGCATTCAACTACAGCTGTTTTCCGTAGATATCTAACCAAAGGAGGTTGTCACAGTTGTATGATTGGGTTACAGAATGGACACGAACTTGAAAATAGAGGATTTTGTGTACCAGAATTGTTTCATCAGCCTAGTGTTGGGCTAATTTTGGAATTTAGTGATTAGAGAAAAAGTGCTGTGATTTAAAAATTTTTGTTTGAGAGAGGCTCTTCACCTGTACTTTAAGAATATAGTACGGAGAATATGTTAAGCAAATTTTACCATACAGTAAATTTTCATTCCATTTTTATCCTCTTTCCCCTCCTTTTCCATTCCCTCATAAGAGAAAGCAGCTCAGGAAGCTGACTTACAATCAGTAGTCTGGGAACTTCCGGGATTCTTTACCAGAATCTCCCTGGATGTTGCAGTCCCTGACGCAAGCAGCATTGTTTTGGGGTAGGAGTTTTTATAATGGCTACCAGGAAGAGTGGCTAAGGTTGCTAACTGCAGGTATTATCCTTTGTAGAAACTCAGTTGGGAATTCCTTTCTGCCAGCTCCTATGTTCATTTCTAAATTAAAAAAAAACATACTCCCACCTCCCCACACTCCCCCCAACAAGTAAGGATGGACTTCCTACTTGTGAAAATCTGACGCTCTTTTGTAGTTGGTATTCTCTAGAGCAGTTTACTCTGACCCCAGACCGCTTTTCCTTGTTATCCCTAACTTTGTTGTGGTTAACGTGCACTTCTTATGGAAGTTTTTGGATTCTTTGTCTTTGTCTTTGGATCAGTTCTGGTTTATAGAGGAGTTAAAGGAAATTGTAATTAAACTTGTACTTTATAGAGTTTTTTTTTTTTTAACCGAACTATCTCCATGATAAATAAAATAGTCATTTAAGTATAAGTATCGTTTTATGTTTGTTTCTTACTATGTTTACTAATAACCTTTTTTTAAAAAAAATTTATTGATATTCTTAATAAATCCCATTTTTGTTACCTAGGCTAAATAATCTTTACATAAAATGCCATGGGTTGAGATAATTTCTGAAATGACAGATCTGAAAAGGGGAATGGGAGGAGATCCGAAAATATTTGTAGACTTAGTGCTTATGTGTAACATCAAATTCTTATCAGGAAGCCTGTGGTAATGTTTCTTTGAAAAAAGGCAACCAGGAGGAAATGCAGTAGTTCTTAATAGCTTATAGAACTGAAGAAAGAAAAGATGTACCCTTTGTTATCTACTTTTGGAACATATTCTTAGTAACTGGTAGTACTGCAATGGTATTTTCTCTAGATTTCTGTTATAAATGCTAAACATAAGTAAATGAGAATTGTGATTTGATTATGATCAAAAGGTAGTAGACACAGATCAATAGAAATTATAATTAGCACCGGATATCTTGAGGGATGGGGAGAGGTGATGGACAGTAAGAAACTTTCCTTGCTAGGGAAACTAAGTATAATATTTTAATGGTAAGATATTTCTCTTTGCCTTAGTGTTTTAAAATCTGTAAAGTGGAAATAATATCTTTTTTTTTTTTTTAAGATTTTATTTATTTATTTGACAGAGAGAGAGAGTTAGCAAGAGCAGGAACACAAGCAGGGGGAGTGGGAGAGGGAGAAGCAGGCTTCCCGCTGAGCAGGGAGCCCAACGCGGGGCTTGATCCCAGGATCCTGGGATCATGACCCAAGTCGAAGGCAGACGCTTAACGACTGAGCCACCCAGGCGCCCCAGTCTTTATAGATATTTAAATGACATAACACTGCCTTTGGCTCAGGTCATGATCCCAGGGTCCTGGGATCGAGCCCCGCATCGGGCTCCCTGCTCCGCGGGAAGCCTGCTTCTCCCTCTCCCACTCCCCCTGCTTGTGTTCCTTCTCTCACTGTGTCTAAAATCTTAAAAAAAGAAAACATATTAAATGAGATAACATGTGTCAGCAGTTTAGAATAGCGCTTAGCATCTAGTAAGCCCTCAAGTAAATTTAGCTGTTGCTATTCGTATTTAGATTTTTAAAAAAGAGAACCTATACTCAGTGACAGATCATGGTAAATGCACCTGCAATTTAAGATTTAACAAAGGAGTTATTAAAAAATAGCATCCAGCTTCTTATTCCACCTGTTTGTTGAATCTTGCTTTGGGAATGTTAGCATAAGATTTAAATCTCTTAGTCTGATTTAGTAGAATGAATAAACCCAATAACAATCCTATAAGTGAAATAACTGCGTATTTCCTTTTTTTTTCTTTGTTTCAGGTTTCCCCTCAAAAAACCTATAAGGTAAGTTGTTCAGTTGCCCTTCATACGCTTAGGTTAAATCTTAATTAGAAGCATTCCTTTGAAATTATGGCAGAGTTTTGTGGCTTTTGAAAATGTGGATTTAAGTAGTTTAAAATATCAGAATGTTTTACAAATTTAAAATATAACAGGTGTTGCATATTTTTTCTGGAAGACAGCATTGTTTTGATAACATTTTCAGTGTTTTTAATATAAGCATTTTAAAAGTTTGTTCAAATTGATAGTTAAGGTCACTCCCTATGAAGAGATTTAATTTTAAAATCTATTGTGACTGTTTTCAGTTGTGAGTAGCTTGGGGAGTGTAAATGGCTTGCCAGTTTTTGATGTATTTTATCACTTGGGTAACTACAGCTGCCTTTAGTTAATGAACTTTGGCAAAGTGAATCAGTCTTAATTACTTTAAGACAGTAAAGGAAAAAATCCAAAATGTTCAAATATGCCTGTGCTCAACAGCCATATCTCCATATGTATTCAGATCCTGGGACTAAATGCCTTTTCCTCAGTGCTTATTCTCACTGCTCTCCCATCCTAGTTGTCATGAATATTATTTAAAATGTAGGTAGTATATCATTCCTAATTATGTTAGTACTTACATCATTTTTAGTGACAGCATGGCCCAGGATACCAATGCTAATCTTGGCATTTCAGTTAGTTAGTAGTGTAAGTATTACAGTGAGGGTCTTATTTGATGCCCTGCCATTATCTGTTCAGTATAATTGGGTAGGCCATAGGAAAAATAGTAATTCTAGTGTCATCTGGGCCTGCCTGACTTCTGTAGCTAGAATTCTAGTGAGGTTTGCCTAAGATTTTTTTTTTTTTTTTTTACTATTCTCATCCATGCTACATTTACACAGTGATTTTGAACCTGACCATAGAATATGTAGGGTCAGGTCGGGGGAAGTGTTAAAGTGTTGAATTACTTTCAGGCACTGTTTTCTTACCTGTTCAGTGGAAGTCATAGTAACCTGTGAAATCCACTGAAAGAATTTAAGTTATTTTATTTTTTTTTTAAGATTTTATTTATTTATTTGAGAGAGAGAGAAAATGAGAGAGAGAGAAAGCACATGAGAGGGGGGAGGGTCAGAGGGAGAAGCAGACTCCCCGCCGAGCAGGGAGCCCAATGCGGGACTCAGTCCAGGGACTCCAGGATCATGACCTGAGCCGAAGGCAGTCGCTTAACCAACTGAGCCACCGAGGAGTTATTTTATTTTATTTTTAAAGGTTTTATTTATTTGTCAGAGAGAGAGAGCACAAGCAAGGGGGGTGGCAGGCAGAGGGAGAAGCAGGCTCCCCACTGAGCAGGGAGCCCCATGCGGGACTTGATCCCAGGACGCTGGGATCGTGACCTGAGCTGAAGGCAGACTGAGCTGCCCAGGCATCTCGAATTTAAGTTATTTCTAATACTAAATGCTATTTCTGAGTTATTTATAGGAATAAAATAGACTTAATACTAAATACTTTTATTATTTTTAAGCACTTTTTATAACTAGATTCTTTATTACACATAGCATAGACAATTTAAAACTTCTTGAAAAATATGTTAGATTTATGAGGATGTAAAGGTAAACTGATTACTTGGATTCTCTTTGTAAGACACACACTTGCAATTAAGTTTTTATTCTGTTGATTTGCTTGTATGTAGTAAATATTTGACTGCTTTACTTTAATTTAGGCATGGGAGTATTTTGAACCGAGAGTCACCAACAGATAAGAAGCAGAAAGTTGAGCGCAGTGCATCACATGATTTTGATCCTACAGGTAAAACATTGTTCTTCCAAAGAATATTGAGAGTAGTTTAGTTCAGCATAATTGAGCTTAAGCTGTATAACTACCTGAAACACCCAGGAGTCAGTGTTTGGTCTGTTTCGGACTCTTCCTTCCTCTTTGATGTTATAATACAAAACCTGTGCTTTCAGTAGGAATGCAAGCATTTTTAATGTTCAACACTATGGATTCCGCTATGGAAGCATCATTGTAGAGTATATTTTATTAAAAAATAAGGATGATAATAAAAATTGTCATTATATCATAATTGGAGATTCTAGTCAGACCAAGGACTTAATATTAAAATAAATCATGAAGTGTGAACAGTAGTATCTCATAAAATCAAAGCTCTAACAACTATAGATTTCTGTAGTCATTTAAAAATTCATGTGTGATCATGGTAAATTGGAGTATTAGATAAAATCCAACTTTAGAAATTAATGATCATCTAATTTTAGAGTAAGCAAATGAATAGAGATCCCTTTTTCTTCAGTCAAAAATATTCTGAGCTCAGAGAATCTTTTCAGTAGTGTTGATCTTTGCTAAGGTTTTCATGTTAGTAGACTTCTGACCATTTATATTCTTAATTTTATACAAATAGATTGAATTCCTGTTGTACAGTGTGGGCTTTTGCTTTCTCCTTATAAAGTCACTTAGTATTTAGTTTATAAAAAATGCTGGATAATTTTGCTTTTGTCATTTGAAACTGATAAATGTTCTTTGTGTACATACTGTTTTACTCAGTTGTATGTTCCTATGACAAAAGATAAAGTAGGTAATTGCTAAGGTCATGGATACATAAATAAAATGTATCTTTTTAGATATTTTTGTTTAGAAATACAATTTTTAATAGAGTATATTTTTTGTATGCAACTCAGATGTTTCATACTTTTAGTATAAACCGTTATTTTGAAAAAACATAAATACTATCCAGGAAGGGAAGAATAGGAAGTGAATATCTAATAATTTACCTGCATCTTGGGTCATAGGTAAAAATGAAATCCCAATCATTAATTTATTTAGGCTTTGGTGGTGGGGCATAACTTCTGGATTGCCATTGAAAGATAATTTTTTATTTCTGACACCTAATTTTGACATGATGGGGCTCAGAGGCTTTTATTAATATGATTAGCTATTATCTTGCTAATGAGTTTCTGCCCTGTGTTCATATAGACATTGGAGTCTTGTTAGATTGACTTATTCCTCTGTGACGTGCCCATCTCCAAAGACAGACTTAGTGAAGTGGTGTGCAGTGCTTCAAAACGAGATTATTACAGCTTTTAGTGCTTTTGTCATCTCTATGATCGTCAGATGATATATTTTGTAGACTGTTCATGTGTTGTTTTGTTTGAACATATTTTTATTGCACTGTCTTTTCTTCGATAAATCTTTAAAAGATGTCATTACTTGTGCTGTTCGTGACTGTTCTAAGTGCTATCACCTGCGATGTTCATACTTTGTGTTTGCACGATTTAACGTGATCATGATTCATTCTTTTTTTCCCCCATGAATTTTCCCCCTCACATTGGTCTCCATATTTTCTATATCTCTCTCCTTTTCTCCCGCTCTTGTGCAGATAGCCCCTCCAGGAAGACAAAGTCTAGTTCAGAGGAGAGTAGATCCGAGATATATGGTAAGCTAACGTAGCCAATTCAGCCTTGCACCTTTGGAGCTTGCTTCGTGCTGTTGCCTTTTTTTTTTTTTTTTTTTTTTAAATAACTGCAGCCTTCCTTGTGTCTGCTCTGCATGGCATGACCTACTGCAGGGAAAGGGAGCCTGGGGTTTTAAATGTGGCTGCCACTGGGAAGCTTAAGGTTGCTAGAAACTAACATCATAGAGTAAGAGCAGGCCACATGACCCATCTTCTCTTTCATCTTGTGTATGATGGGAAAGTGACGATGTCTAATGTGTTTGAGCTGGGCTCCTCCATATAACGTGGGTGGGCTTTGAATTCTTGGCATCTTCTTCCCACGTCCCATTTGCCGAGTTTGGATCATGTAGAATTTCATGGCACCAGTCTTTCCATCTAAGCATAGCACTGGTGTGACTTAGAGCTGTTACCAGTTCTTTGGAATTTTTATTTGATTTTTTTTATTTGTTTCTTTTTATTGACCTCATCATCTGGAAATGCTGTTCGTGTATGATTTATCCACAACAGCAAAAATACCTTAAGTATTTTATTTCTGTGGCTTGAAGAATTTGTTTATGCCTTTTATAAGTTTCCCTGAAGCTTATTCTGAATGGGAAAATGTCAAAATGACACCTTTTAAAAATGATTTTCACAAAGAGCAGGTTTAATCTGAATGGTTAACTTTTACAACAGATGATTGAAGCACTAATATTTCTAGGCTGTGTCCTGTCTTCCAAAGATAATTTAAACCATGTTTGTGAAGTTCATACATGTTTTTCCCTTTCCTCTGCACAGTTTTACCTGCCCTCTTCCCTTGTTTTGGCATCCGATTAGTGCTTTGAGAAAAGTGAATAGGAGAAACACTGCTTGGAACCATGACTTTTAAAATGACCTCTGAAAGACTAATAAATTATTCCTTTTTAAGAAGATTCCAAATTTGGCCTCAAAGGAAAACCAGATCTTCTCTAAAAGAGCCAAAAGTCTATCAAATGGAAGTTTCCCCAGATGTAGCTGTTTCCTAGCCTGATATACATGAAAGGAAAAAAAAAATATATATGAAAGTGCCCCTCCCCCCCTTAAGACATTTTATATCTCCTGACACTTGAGCCCATAGTGTCACATACTTTTTAATATTATGAGGCCTCAGTGTTTGGTTTTAAATAAGTTAATGCTTCTATGTTAAATAGATAATATAGTTCTTTGCTTCGGTTTTTGTGACTATTGCCTTTTTGTGTGTAGTTAAACCTTTTACAGTTAGTTCAGGACGAAATGTGTTCCATGCTGCATGGTATAACAAGTGTATGTTTTTTTCTTCTGTCCAAAGTATTTGGCTCCTCCTAAGTAAGAAAGAGCTTCCGAATTTCTCAAGACCCTGTCTTTCTGTTCCATATAAAGAGCTTCCTATGGCTTATTCTCTCCTTAGGAATGTGAACACTATCTTTATTGGCTGCCTTCTTTTCCAGTAGCCTTTGAAAAGTTGTATTTCACCTCCCCCACCATTTTCCTAGATCTGTGGTATGTATGCAAAAGCTTGCTATTTGCTTTGGATGCTAGGATGTTTGCTTTGGATGATAGGATGATAGGTATGTATTCAAAGACTCGCTGTTTGATTTGGATGTTAATAGTTCAGTGATAGGAATATTAACACTAGTTCAGACATGCCATTCGCTTGTTAGTAATAGAAACATTTTGAGTGGTAATGGGGAAATAAGGTGTGGCTTCTCTGTATGTTTGTTTCTTGAAAACCCTCGAAATACCTTTTTTTGGAAGGAACTGAGCCATGGGTCCTTCAAAAGCACTTATAAAAGGGATGACTTGATCTGAACAGCATTAGTGTGCTAACTTAAATCTCTTTGACATTACAAATATTTTATCACCTGTGTGAATAGCCTTCCTCAGACTTTGTGCCGATAGCACAGATGAAAAAGAATCTCTAGGGAGTCGAGAAAAGCTTGGGAATGATGGAAGGTGATTGAGTAGAGTCATGGCAACTGCTGACTTTGCCTTACCGTCGGATCTCTTACCAAGCCCACTTCTAAGTTTTGAGATTTTACACTGTCTTGGGGTAGAATTCATTAGCTCGATACTTCGACAAATGCTAGTTCTTCACTTAAATTATTTATTTTGAACTCTCTTAGCCATTTTTAGAGCTGTTTTGGTGCAATAGATTTACTCGGCTCATTTTAAAAGAAAACCAAGTGCTTGTTTTGCATTGACTTCTTTTGTGAAGTTTCTGCCTAGGGCAGGAGGTCAGTATTTATTCCATTTCTCCTTGTTTTTCCCTCTGTACCTTTTGGAGTCTGTTGATCACGTGCAGATCATGTGTCTGATCTACAATTTCAGTTATACTTAATTTTCTCTTTTTCTCATGAATCTCGTAATGGAGAAATTTTGTGGATTTTTGTGGGACATGAGAGAGTTAGCGAAGGAATTTGGAGTTTGACAGCAGCCTCTTCCCGCTTCTGTCTTGGCTTCGTGAAGAGATTCTAGTTGATAGGATTATATACAAAAGAGTAAGCCATGTCTTTTTGAAACTATCTTCATCTGCTGGGGCTGCTATAACAAAATACCAGAGACTTGGCTTAAATAACAGAAATGTATTTTCTCTCCCTTTTAGAGGCTAGAAGTATGAGATGAGGGTGCCAGGTTCTGGTGAGAACTCTCTTCTGGCTCGCAGACGGACCCCTTTTTGCTTTGTGCTCACAGGGTCCTTCTTTGGTGCAAGCACAGGTAAAGGGAGAATAGTCTCTCTGGTGTCTCTTCTTACAAGGACACTAATCCCATCATGAGGTCCCCACTCTTATGACCTCATCCAATTCTAATTACCTGCCAAAAGCCCCACCTCCAAATACCATTACATATTAGGGGTTAGGGCTCAGCGTATGAACTGGGGGAGGCAGGAGGGACACAAACAGTAGTCCGTAACAGAAACAAACTGTCAGTACTTGAACTGTCCTGGTTGGATACTTCAGAGTGTATTTTTTTTTTTTAAAGATTTTATTTATTTATTTGAGAGAGCGCAAGTATGAGAGAGAGCTCATGAGCCAGGGGGGAAGGGCAGAGGGAGAAACAGACTCCCTACTGAGCAGGGAGCCCGACATGGGGCTCCATCCCAGGACCCTGAGATCATGACCTGAGTTGAAGGCAGACACTCAACCGACTGAGCCAGCCAGTGGCCCTTCAGAGTGTATTTTAAAAAAATTCTTACCTTTTTTAAGTTCAGCCTCCTCCGATGTATAAAGGTCAAAGTCCCCAAGTTATTCTTTCTGCTTTCTTCGTCAGCCTGGCAGAGAGCACTGTACAACAGGAACCTTCTGTGTCCTCATAAGTCACTCACTTCCTAACCTCTTGAAGTCTGACTTCT